ATCGTTCTGAGATATTTTTTTATTAAAAATTTCATTTAAAATTGACTACATTTCATTTATAATATATGTATTTATGAGACATGTTCGAATACATTTACACGAATGAGTTACATCAAGTAATTAAAACGAAACAATTATCTGCAGTCAATAAAAGACGTTTGACTTTAAAAAATCCATTTATTTTCTTTAATGCCCTAAACCAGGCTTACACTTTTGAATTGAGTAATGTCAAATGGTTGTGTCACCGGCCGCGTTAAAGAATTTTGACCGTTACGCCTTTAAATGTAGAGTTTTAAATCTATTGAGAATTCACGAAATTATCACCCACAGTTCTGAATTAGCAAATTATGGGCCATTAAATGTTATACAAATTGTCGTGTAATCGTAACCTTTATTATAACCATTACAACAAACCGTTTTACAACTATTTAAAAAATATATCGTAATTCTTATTACAAAGCAATACTTTTGTGATGGAAAATAATAACTTAATCTCCCATAGATATTACAAATGTTTTGTAGATATAGGTTAGCCAGTAGATAGATAGATCGATCGACTATTTAAATTTAATAGTCACGTTCTGATTTAACTTATCAATATTTTATATCCCGGAATATTTTATTAATAACACTTATGATTATCTATTAATAGTAAAATTCAATTGTCATATCGAAACAGGCCATGATTTGGCTCAATTTGAGTAGCGAGCAATGGTTATACTTTTATACATCACTTCTTAGTCTGTTTGAAAACTATATTCATACGACAAATAATACAAATGTTTCTATTCCGAATAGTTCGAGCAAATGTTAAACAGAATTAAGTTTCATTCCTTGCAATATAATGTCAAAACATAACGTGCTAATATTATCATATCAAAATGTATCACAGGCACGAATATGTAAAGTACTCTGAATTTATAAGACTAACAAAGACTTTCGTTAGCGAATACAGAAACACGGATCATTGTAATTGTAACTTCACGCCAGTAATGCTAAACATATTTCATGTAAGCCAGTGTTAAAAGCAAAATGTATAACAACCCTCTAATACAGGAACAAACACGGACACGAAATGTACAACCGTGGGTCGAATCGGTCCAGCGAATCAGTAATAAAACACGGTAACACTAACTAGCCCACGTGCACTCGACCATCTGATTGGCTTCATTTGCATACATTGACAGAAACAAAAGTAACTACTTCACTTGAGATCAAAAATATCCTCTAACTCGAGAGATAACGACACGTACTTTGTAAATTACTGTACAATCAAGTGTTAGACACGAAAGCTTCGCATGCGCAAATTGCGTTAAATCTTAATTGAATTCTTACCAGCTGTAAGACGGTAAATTTACATTTTTAGTAAATTAGATCTAGCACGCAATGTATAAAGTCCATTTTCAGTTATCTCGGTTGAGATTAAAGGATCTTAGAAAGTAAAACCTAAATTGCGTTTTAAACGATGCTTAAGTGATTATCTGTTATTTCAACGTTAAAGTATGTCATATATTTTAAATTCTTTTCTTAATACGATAATAGAGTACTTAGTTTTTGTTCGGAATAAGACGAGAATCAACTGTTAATGAACTAAGAAGAGTAATACAGACATATCTTGATTTCTTTATTTATGGGCATCGGACAATGTTAAAATTAATATAACAATGCTTGCATAAGATCTGAAACAAATTCGTTGACACTGACCAATAAGATCTCTTGCAAAAGCCTACCTCAATGTCGTCCTACTTTCCAATCGCAACCGCACTTATAATCAAGTGTATTATATAGCAAACAATAATTATGTCACACAACAGAATAAAATACAATTGAAAATCAATCATGATCCAACTGAACAGAGTTCAAAGTTGAATGTTGACGACTTTGTAATCTTAATCGACAAATCAAATGAATCTGTTGTCAACTGCGCTAAAATTACACATACGTACAGTCAATATTAAAATTTATTATATATTCAATACAGTTCACTTTGCTATACATTTTCTATAACCAGGATTTCGTCGGCGCCAGCAGTTTGACGTATTACCATGGCGCCTGTAGAATAATTTAAGTAGGAGTTAAATCTTAAATTTTGATTGATACAGTTGGTATGTCAGCTGTTTCGAATCGATAATATAAGTGGTAATGTATTTTAGTTTCATTTGTGTATAAATTTATGTCAAGGCGTTTATATATATAAAGACAGCTAACGAGCTAAATTATTAAAATTTTAATTAGTTACAAAACGATGAGAATTTAACACTACTGAAACATTGTATTTATAACAAAGGTTATGTGGCTAACACTCGTTTCTACTATAGATAATTTAGTATGTGCATTAAAATCGTATTATAGGAGTACTTTGAAATAATGAAGTAAGTTATTAAGGACTTATGATCATTACCAATCAATGATCACACTGGTGTCTACCGCATTACGCGTTCACAAAAACCAAGGTTCCCTATTGTACACATGGAGCTCCGCGCCAACTAACAAAGCAAAGATATCGATAAGAACACAATAAACAATAACATTCAGCTAATGTTGCAACACATAATAGTTATGCGACCGTGGTTTTAGGATCGTTTACACTCTACGATATGTCGTACGACAAACCAAATCAATACGCCTTGTACTACATCTCATAGAAGCGTTTTTCGTTTATATAATTAGCTTTAATCAAATTTAAAAATTTCGTTTTTTTAATCAACCATTATTTTCTACACATTATAACATAAAATTAAGTTCTAAGCTACAGCTTTGCATACGTTTAATATATTAAATAACATTGAAATGGTACATAAGTGTATGTCTAAAAATATTGACTTCTATTCGTACATTGTAAAAATCAGGACGCGTGCCGATTTGAAATGTCGTGTGGGCAGATTGTCTGAGACATTATCGAGGGGGTCGGGCCAGAGTAGCGCAGCACCTGGCTTTGCTTGTTACATTTAAGCAATTTGTTCAGTCAGGAATATTGTAAGATATTCAATAAATATGATATTATATAATACAAAAGACTAATCATTATTTGTAATAATTTGTTCCCTTAATATCATTAAGCTGACGTAAGTCAATAGCTAGATTATCGTAAAACGGTTTTGACATTTGGTTATATTAAACGAATATAATAATCTTCATTGTTTGGAATTCAGTACTTGATTGAATTTATCCTTTATATAAAACATTAAAACGACCGATATCCTCTCTTTACTAGACAGAAACCTAACAATAAATAAATAAATCTTCGCGTGTCGCATTCGAAACAAAAAACAAAGAAAGCAAGTACACTTCCTACAAACCGCAATCCATTAATTCAAATAAAATTAACGTTAGAGCGACCATTTTCCTATCAGACATCCGTAAACCAGTCCTAATTATTAGAGGGAATGTTCGATCTTTATTGTTTGCGGTCCCCCATACTATATCTAACTTATTAATGTGTGTGGATTTAGTATGTGTGCATCTGATAGCGGACTGATTCACTTCCTCGTTTGTATCACTGAGGAGAAAAAATCTTAGATTTAATTTATTTTATTCAGCTGGCTAAGTACGTTTTCTTTTTATGGATTAAAATTAATGTCATGAATGAATGCGGCCATTTATCTTTTATAGATCCTAATGTTTTATTCGTTTGCTTCTACTTTTATCAGTTAATGACAAAATAAAAGGCCAGCTCGGACCTACCTCAATGATCGGTCGACGCGAGTTTCGTGTCATTACGCAGCATCCGATAGCTCCTCACCGAGATGACATCGCGTTTAATCCGACGCTTAGAATAACGAAAGATTTATTGCACTTTAAATTATACTAGAGAACATATTACTAAAGCAAACTAAACCTAAATGTGATGAACATTATGTAATTTTTTGTATAGCATTCATCGACGTAGTGTTTAGAAAGTTAATAAATGATTTATAACAATCAATCATTAAAATTACTATGCAAAATTTTAGTGCAACCGCCAATAGCTCCGGCGTTAGGCGTGTTAAGCAACCGGTCATAATCAAATCACTTATCGACGCGTGTGCACGCACACTTGCTTAATTGTTGCCAGAGCACAAAACGTGATTACTTTCTCTAAACATATAATTAAGAAATGATATCATTTTAAACGCTTACAATTAACATTGAATTGTAAAAGTTATTTTATATACAAATTGTTTTGCAACAACACGATTTCAGATTATCTATCCATCGGGATATCTAAAGTATTTAAAATATATTTAATGTTATAATTTAAATTTATGAATAAATAAAAGCAACACTCGAACGACCTTGTCAACGCACCGTTGAATTTATTTCGTTTGTAACATTTATATAGCAGAAAGGAAATATTTTACAAATTTGAGCAACGTATCTTTAACAGCTTTCGAAATAAAATGTAAGTTTAGTGCTACGTAACATCGCTTTATTACTTCAAATGTATACAATTAAATGTTTTATTTAACTACATGCTTGTAAAGTACTGTTTCACAGGATCACTGACGTGATGAAATATTTATTCCTTTCGCTTTTTAACTACTGAATAATCATTACAAAACATAGAGTACAACAAAACGTTGATTTAATAGCATCACGACGGTGTAAGACTAAGCTGATTAAAATCGTAATGAATCGGTATGTAGGGCGGCCACGTGCCACAGGCTTGGCTTAGAACCTATAAACTGTTTATGAAGCAGTTATTTTGCAATATGAATAAATCATTGTAAGCTGAACAGCTCTAGATGTAACTAGAACTTACAAGCTATTCCATAATTCTGTTTTAATTGAGGCTGCGTTGTCACTATTTTATTAATATATTTGCGCTGTATTTCTGTCTTTGTATATTTTTTTATGAATTCAATGATAAAATTAAATTATTTTGCATTTGAAATGAAAGTTTATTTGTATTTGGGCATTGGATAGAAGTGCTTATTTATCTTAAGTTTTATGATTTTGCTTCTCTAGTGTAAAATAGACATATCTACTTATGTAAATTGCTTAAATTTAAGTCAACATACCTCATTCCATCGAATCCATCATCAGAACCGTTGATAGTGAGCACAGGCGCACGAGCGTATGCCTTTGCCACTCTCCGATTCTTTTCAAATACAATAACCTTCGCCCAGATCTCATCGTCGATTTGAGTCCATTTGTCTAAAACCTCTTGTATGTGTTCCTGTAAAAGATATAATCATATTAGAAAAGTTAAATAAATAGTACTAATGCTTAACATAAATATTATAATTTTTATTACACATCCTAATTAAGAAAAAAATAATATTTGACATGTTTCCTCAAGATTCTGACAATTAGAGCCGCTTAAATCCGGGTGTCTGATATCTTGGTTCAGAGATCATGTCAAACTGGTGATTTAAAAAACCATGAAAAAATTTTACGCTCACTAACATGTAACACTAATCAGGAGAGCAATCTCATATATGATTCATACATGGGATGTTTTTGAGATGATCAAACTATTAAGTCCCTATATGTCTATGAACAATTAAACATCAACCAGACTAGTTTGTCAGCTATAACTATTATTATCTTTTCATCAAGCAGACGCTCCGTGTATGGTATATAATTATAATTGCCAAAAACGTCCTTGTCTGTTCTATTTTATGGAAGATTACCATAGTTTAGACAGAGCCGGTGTAGCAATGTTCTTGTACGACACACTGCTTGTACCGCTGTAACGATACGCTCTAGTAATTTGCCAACATAGATTATAAACTTCAAGGCACATTATCTTGCACTCTTATATGTTGTATGAAGTGCAATTGAAAGTGATTTTATTGAATCAACAATGATTTTGTATATCACCAAGAATTTACTACCTTTTTTATTTTTTATAGAACAAATTAATGAGATACATGAGTTCATATATGAAGAACAGAAATACCAAAAAAGTTTATATAACTTTAAAAGAAGAATACTGTTTTTATATACTTTTGTTTGATTATTATTATTAAAAGTTATAAGTTAAGGCGCGGAGGCAGGTTTCACTTTCAAAACTGAATAGTCGGTCCCGACAACGCGAAAGTTCGTGATTGATGCCATGTTGGTTATAAAATTATATTTTTTCACTTTATGTTGTGAGATTTAAATAAATAAAAGTAACTTATATCTCTACTCAATACATGACATCAATATAAAAATTAACTTCCTAGTCTGGAGTCTAAATGACTAGTACGAATGGTTATCCATTTCGTTTTTGTTATAAAGTAATATATGTAAAATAGTATAAATTTTTGACTAAAACTTGATTGATTAATTTTATATATATATATGTATATATAATTTAATTTGTAAGGAACCTTAATGGAGTATTGAGTTAAATACACAGAATATAAGATTGGTGACAATAGTTTTGTCATCGATAATAATAAGTATAAATTATTTTTTTCAAACGCAAAATGTTTTTTTAGGTCATATTCTCTATATATTAAACTTAGTAGTTTCTCTAATTTTCTATCTATCTCTCGACATTCAAATAGAATATAAAAACAAATATAAAAATATTAATTTTAATAAATATTATTTATAATTCATCAACTTCAAGATATGCCTCATTGCATTCGTGACCAATAAAACATAATTTTATTATCCCCTACCTGCTTTAAAACCTACGAAGTTTCACTAACAAATTAGGATTTTATGTTTGACTCGAACATTATAATTTTAGTGTTCGTTTAATGAGATGAAAACATGTTCAGTAATTTTTGCGTAAATGAGTAACGAGAATACGTATACCTCTGAACCATCGTATTTGTATTCCTATGTATCAGTGGTACTAGACATTGCAATCATCATTAGTGTACACAATACTGAATAATATACAAGTGTCTGAGTTTATCATTATTATAAATCGATGGTACTTTCTCTCGATCGCATAGTTTTTGAGATCTACATTACCACATATGTACATACATCTATATACTAATGTACAATCGTATACCGCGAATGAATGTCGCTCGTTAGTCTGAAAAGCTTAGTTCTGTACGTCATGCTTGATCATTGGCCTGATTTATGTTTTCATCTTCACATAATGGACTTGTCCCTTTTTACATTTTATATAATGAATATTAAAAATTAGCTCAAACGACTTTAAAATCACTTTAAAGTTACTTCTTATAATAATGTTATTTTTATTTAAAAAAAAGATAATCATTCTGATTTCCGTAAAAGGTCGTAAATATAATATAATATTAAATGTAAGATAAATCAGAGATTTTATTGCAATTCACATTTGCACATTTGAAGTCGAAATTTGTAATTAATAAATTACTAAAGGTTAAATTATCATCCATATAAGCAATTGTTTCTATTTATAATTGATAATAATTACCGTTGAGCAATATTTCATTAGCGCAATTAGAAACTGTGTATTAAAAATTACTTTTTGGTAAACTATTCATTGTTTAATATATGCTCTTATTTGATTATACTTATATGTTGCCAAGGCCTAGCGACTTCGCATTTTATTTCTGAACAATCTTTTGCAAAAAAAAAAAAACTACTATAAAGTATTGTCTCATCGACTTTCTGAAAGTCATGTTAATGGGGCCTAGTCTTAAATACTTAAGGTGAAGAAGAATAAAAAATAGTTGGTGAAGTTTTACCAAACACAAAGACGAGTTTAATGGCTAAAAAGAAATAGTCATATACAAGAACTTCAGACGACATTTAAATGTCCTTTTAGTTGAGACCAATTGGTTATACGAAAAACAAATTATTTTGACTTTTTGGGATAACTTATAATGAATTTAAATTCAATTGTTTTGTTTTGATTTCTTTAATTTTGCCCAGTTCATGACTAAAAGGAAAACTTGGAAAATAAAATAAAATTGGTTTTATATATTGGTGTGTTAACTCACCGTAATAAAATGTTGTACGATATGGCATATTTAAAAAAATATCTTATACCATATAAGGCAAGGACGTTAGAGGTAAATACTTTTAATTTATAAACTTCACAGTTACTCGATTGCATCAAGCTACTTTGTCTCATCGATTCATATGGTTCGCACGCATGTGTCATGCATTGTAATGTTTGACATTTAAAAGTCATTTAAAACTTCATCTGTCACTTTTTAAATTTTTTTAATCTGTATTATCGGTATATATTTGGCAAACTCTTAATTTAGTGTTAAAAATTTTGGAAACTTTCTTAAACGTAAAACAATTATTTTTACGTATTTATTAATAAGGAGCAGAGATTTTAATTTATTTAAATACATATTAATTTCTGAGAAAAATTTTTATTCTGTTATCAATATCTATGAAGTTTTATTATAAGTATTTTAGGCGCTAACCACAAACGAGACGGTGTGTTAATGTATTTCTTAATTTCTGTTTATCTAACAATCTAATATGTTTATTAAATCTATGTTAAATGTCAACGTCAGTCCTCAAACTGGTTCTCCATATAAAGATTAACTGGGTTTAGGTTAACATCTATTTATCCAAGAAAGAATAGAAAAGTTATTATGCACATATATTTCTACCCACCTGTCATAGTCCTTCCGCATTCTTAAAATGTATAATTCTATCCATTGGAATATATACTTTAGTAGTTGTGGATAAGAATCATTTTTATACAATGAACGTTTTTTAACGTTGTTCTACATACAAACAGTTAAATGAAGGCCTTGCGGTCAAGTTTCCGTAATGTTTTTATTAGACGGGTTCTCATTAAGTGTCAATATATTAAACATTGTCATTCAATTTGAACTCTATGTGTATGTTAATAAGATGCTACATTCAGCTCAGAATTAAACATATGTTTTGTAAGGAATTTTCAAATTGTTTAAGAACATGTGAGTATTTTGAACATACATTTTTTGTCCAAGTCCAAGTTTATCACAAAAGTTTTTAGGTAGAATAAGCTTGTCGCTATTATAGAAAAGGTGCTGATTTCAATCTAAAATGTGCTTTCTAGTATTTACGACCAAGGAGTGGAACAGAAACGAAATATGTAAATGTGTTCAGATAACAAAAAAAATATTTAAATAACTCCTTTTAACAGTTGGTTAAAGATATAATTCTTTCAAAGTCAAGTGACCTTTCGAAAAGTATTGAATTTTATAACCATAATATAATATAAAAAAAAAAATTCTAAAAGTTATCTCTTCATTTACAGACCAATCAAATTTGCGGTATAGAGTAATTTGATACAATTGATCTAGCATAAGATCTGTATTTTTATATTATGTTGGCAACACTTCAAGGTGTATTAGAATAAATATTTAACAAGACAGGTTGTCAAACTGTTAAAGTTTAAATTGAAATAATAAAAAAAAACAAGGTTTTAAATATATTTATTAAAGTTAATTTGATAAGATTACGACAGCAACAATTTATACCAACCGAAACCGATTGATCATTTTAATAACTGGTCTCGTAAATGCCTATATTTTTATAGATTTATTTTAAATGTCATTTATCAATGACAAATTAGTGAAGAAGATACGTAGAACATTAAATTAATTTGTATAAATCTTTTAACCTTTGACCTAGTATCACATGAAATACGTAAACAATTTTAATATAAAAATAATGTACTTGTCAAAACGTTCGTATTTATACAAATTTTATTATATTGTATAAAACTGTAGTAACTTATAAATTGTAGATTTTAATTTTAATAAATAACACGCCTGGTTAAATTTTATTTTCTTCAATATGGAATTTAATTTATTTCATTCAGATTTTCATTTGACCTAAGTTATAACCAAAAATATATTGAGCAATGTTCTCCTATGTATTTGAATTAAACATTGGTTTAATACGCGGTAGTTGAACCAGTTTTTTACTCCATACTATTGACATGAGATGTAATCTAGCAGTGAAAGTTTTATACTCTCGGCATATTCGTGTTGACATGTGCTTCTTAAAGTGAGAGTTATATTACATTAGTAATAAAATAATTCATTCGTTTATACGATCGCCGATTTGTATTTCTACATTTAGCATACATACTTTACATATTTATATGAAAATTAAAAAAAAACTCAGTCCGTTTTGTAGACAAACTTAGATATAATATTTCGAGAATTTCAATAGGTACTTTGGAATGTACGAGTAATTACTATTTGAATTATCATGACTCAATCACAACAAGAAACAGAATTTTCTTATAATATGATTACGACCGTGACACTCATTGTTGTTATA